CTCCCGTCTCATTAAGTAAAGAATCCTCTTGGTTCTCCGCTACTTTGACCCATTCTAACACCAGAGGTGAATCTTCATTATAGTATTGAAGGTCAATGGGATTAATCTCTGGTTCCTTTGACTCCTTATCCAGCTCGACACATCGCAAACTTAGCTGCATGGTGTAGTAGATATATACCAGTTTTTTCAATCGTCTATATGATAGCCTATTACAGACCTTTGTATGAATCAATGCAAATGTTGACCAGTTATGTTCGTAACCATTCGATATCGCTATTTGTGAAAGTACACGGACGACAACCTTTCTTAAATTTGGTGTGTCCCCTCCAAATTATTGCTATTTCTCGATTGTAAAAATATATAAATAAGACTTTATTAGTATAACAAATAATTAATGTTAAATATAGTTTATAATCAACATATGTGTAATTTTCCCTTACCGGGATCAATATTGTAATGACACGAAATAGCTACATTGTCGAAGAATGAATCAATACTTTTTTCAAATAGTCAACCATCCATAATAGTATCGGCTGCATTGACAGTGTTTGGTAATAGTCGATATATAACATTTCTTAGTGCCAACAATAAATTTGATCACATTCCAAGATTATACTGAAATTGAATGGCTAGATTTATATAATATGTTGTAAGACATAATTTTATTAGTAAAATTTTTAAATATTAAAAAATTATGAATTAAATTATATTGAATATAATTTACTTACATTATGGATGTCTTGGTCCATATGAACCTTGGTCCTACGGTCGATGATATGTAAGTATCGATCAGTCTTGAAATTATTTGCAAATGCTTTCTTGACCTCCTCTCTTGTTGTAAGCAGTAAATCTCTATATCGACCTTATGGAGGACAACGTAAAGTGGTTCCACTCCTTCTATAATTTCATTTACGACATCCCAAAATCTAAAAGAAAAAATAATCATTTTCACCTTTTTCTATCGCTCGATCTCGAATACCTAGAATTGGACCATTTTTGTGATGTGACTATTGCCTTGAGCCCCTACCTCTTTTGTTGTATTGACTTTAAAATAATAAAATTTGTAACAAACTAAGTGACTCTACGTCAGAGTATCTCACCATTTGTATACTTTTGCATCAAAGAGTAGAGTCGAGCTATACACTTGCGTACTGATGGTAGCTCATCAATATTCTTCAACATTAAGTCCATGTAATGAGCTGCTCATAGAGTCCAAAACAATATATTTTTCTTCCATTAATCGTAAACCTATCTTATTGAAATTAGCTCCATTGTCGGTGACAATGTACTGTGGTCCGATCTCCTCTACCATGGTATTCATTAGGTTTTTTCAATATAGCTTACATCTTGAATCTTATTGGAAGCATTAATCGACTTATGAAAAACCACTCATTTGTTGTAATATACAAGAAAATTGATGATACTCATTCTTGTTGGCCCTATTCAATTGTCACATATCAGTGTCACCATATATTCATCCCATTGTCTTTTGAAGAATTTTATCTAATCCCTTAATTCTGCCTCCTTTTCATCTAAATACAAACTGTGGATCTCCTTTAGCGTTGGAGGTTGGATCCTCGTGATAACCTTTTAGATAAAGGAGATCATGCTCTAATAATATAGACCTTAGGCTGTGTTTGCTAGAATTCTGTAGAAGTTCAACCGGTTAGCTATTGTATTTCTAATATCCCGCTTATTTTCTTTTGTATATGTATTTTCAATTCGTGTTTGCTTTGCTGTTTGTGGAGAATAGACTTCCATATCAATATCAATAATATATGGTGTTGATCTCCTGCCAAGTCCTTTGATAAAACCACGATTCCACACTGCCTCTTGCTACCAATCTGGCTCAATTAAGGAGGGGCAATTGGCTACCTCATGCTGGCTAACCTCTGGAATCCCTGTTACGTAGACCCATTGCCACTGCCATGCTTCCATTGTGAGTTAGGTCGTCGATGCCTCATTGCCTCCTCGTACATGTACTGATACTTCATTGATGCATGAATACTAGCTCTGAGATCTATATCGATATTATCATTGCGAGCCTTGTAGTATTCTTCCTGTTCCTTGGCCTTCTTTTTAATTATATCTTCTCTTGTCTGTTGTAGCTTAATTTTGAAATTATTGATGGATCTCCATTGGAACCTTTTTGTATTTTACAACATTGGGATATGTATATTTAGTTGGGTGATTTCTCTAACTCGGTCAATGTAATCACAATGAATGTATTGCCAATGATAATGGTTCCCATCTATCTTTTGGGCATGATCCCAAGCGTCGTCATGTGCCTATTCCTTTGGTGTCATGTTCTTACCAAAATTAAATTAAATAAACAAGTTGCGATTAACTCTAATTTGAAATAACAAGCTACGGTTATATGTAATGAACCCTACTTTGCCACTATAAACATATCAATCAACCTAATAAACATTAAATACATAGAATTTACCCAATATAGATCAAATTATGATGAATTCATAATTAAATATCATAACATTAAAAACACTAATTTTTCCTAATTAGCCCTCTTTTACCATTATAAACATATCAAACGCCCTACTAATTATTAAATACATAGAATTGACCTAGGTCAATTCACGATGAATTAATCATTACATACATAAATTACAACATTAAAAAACTTAAATAAACTCTAATTAGCCTTATTTTACCATTATAAATATGTCAAACACTACAGGAGGCATTAAATACATAAATTTGATGTAATATTAGTCAAATTTTGATGAAATATTATTAAATATACTAATCACAGCGTTAACATAGTTAATTAAGTGCAAATGAGAGAGTGAGGAAAGTATGTGAGTGAGAAAGAGATTGCGAGAGTAGAAGAGTTAGAGAGAGCGAAAGGGGAATGAATGAGAGAGTAGAAAGAGGTTTTTAGTTCAAACAGATGAATCCTGGCCACCCATCGGTATTGATTGAAATTCGATTGTTCTGCTCGGTATAGACCCCGTATCGGGTGATACAAGGTCATATAACACTAACCGCCCGAGACAGGGTGGTCCGCGTACCGGTCTCCTGTTGGACTAACACATACTTCCCGTATCGGATGGTATACCACATCATGACAAACATTGCCAAGTATCTGATCTCTTGATACGAAGTAATTCTACAATCTCCACAATCAAAGTCTGGCCTGTTAAAATTGAAATAGGTTCGCTAGGGGGTTACAAAATCTTGGCAATCTTTCTGTCTAATGAATCAGGAATTTGTATAGTAGTGGTCCGTCTCTGAACCATCCTTTAGGTATATGATTCAAGAGGAATCACAAGGGTGGATTGATAAGTTGGCACATGTTGCATTTAACCTTGTGTCACTTCTGTGATAATTTTGGTCTTGCTCTGGATGTGCAAAAAAATATCTTTTTTTTCTTTAAAAGTCTAGAGAATTCAATAAGCTTCATTTGGAGAGTAATAACCACATGAACAATATAAGTTGAGTTCAAACTTGGGAAATGATCTAGACGGATTTCTACCAAAGAGTCACATTCATCTCACAGCAGAATGTTAGTAATTGAAAATCTCATTGTTACTTTACACATGTACCTAATACTTATAATCTGTAAATTTACAAGAAAGCTTTTGGTACCATGGATCAATTCCCTGATCGAAGGCACATGTATATTTCTTATGATAGTTTAAATGGAGAGTTGCATGTTCCTGGTTGTATAAGTAAATGAGATTATTAAAAGAATAGGCATTCTTTGTGGAATAATGTTGTGAAGAATAATTGAGATAAATATGATGAAATGAGTAAGTGATGTTAAACAAAAAGATTCAATAATTTTTTCAAAAGAGAATATAAATAAAGAATTATTTTGTACGTTAGGTTGGATAGAGGTAGCACTATATGACTATAGCATGAGGGGATGATATTTTGGGAGCTCAAACACTCAAATTAGGCATTATGATACATAGTGAGCTAGAAAAGAAACAGCAAACTTTTGATGTAGCATAGTGAGAAAAAGACCAATTTTTTATTAGGCATTATGATACAAATGATTCTTGTAGGTGACTAAAAAGAATCAAGATAAATGCTCTTTTTTTTTTTGTTAATGTTGTGATTATCATAGTAGAAGCCATAATATTATGATTTTTATGCAAGTTGTACAAGGGGATTACCAAATGATTACCCCTATGTTGCTCTTACACCAGTTGGTAGAAAGCTATCACAGTGTCAATACTGGTCAGACTAGTAAATAGTGTTTGTACTTTGTACCATGGTATTAGGTTTCTTGGTTGTACTTGCTCGTGCGACATCTTATAGTTTTTCAATGTGGTTATTTAATGTATACATTTCCTTAAAAAGGTTATCTTCATATCATGTATGCTCTAATTACAAATGGCTGAACTCCTAAAAAGCTCCTGGCCCCCCAGTCTAATATCAGGGACTTGGCTAAAATACCTGATAAGAAACGACCTAATTGTAATCTCATGAGGGCTAACATAGAGACCTACAGAGAAAGCGACATCTTATAGTTTTTCAATGTGGTTATTTAATGTTTGTATTTCCTTAAAAAGTTTTATCTTTCATATCATGTATGCTCTAATTACAAATGGCTGAACTTCTAAAGAAGCTCCTGACCACCCTTCTCTAATGTCATGGACTTGGCTAAAATTGCACCCTAATGGCACCTGATAATAAACGACCTAATTGTAACCTCATGAGGTCTAACAAAGAGACCTACAGAGAAAACAATGGTTTGTCGAAGAACATGTGGGTAAGCAATTGAACAACAGGAACTTTGTTAGAAAAATGTTTACTACAGGGTGATATAATCACAGTAAGATTGCTTCTTTATTTTAGGTGTAAAGGTTCAAGAGTCATGAAGATAACATCTCTTCGTTCCAGGCTCAGTTAGCAGAGTCTCATATATCAAATTGCTCTTTATATTTTCTTTTCTGTTTACAAAATAATTGGTGATCTTTGTGAAACTTTGGGTAAACTCCTTTGATTTTGGAAAAAGAAAAAGAAAGTCATGACTCAACTTCTTCCATCCAGTCCAAATCCAAATTGTTATATATCTAGACAACATCCAGAATTTTTATCCAGTTGAGAAGGACAGACACCATTAGTTGAATTAACCTAAACTGCCCTACACTCTCCTCTCTACTCTAAGATGATCTCAGGCAGTAGGACATTTCCATTTGCACAACAGCTATCTTTCTTCCCACACCGTTTCCTGTAACTATTACAACACCCACCGATCATTCTCCTTTCTATGATCCCCTGTGAAGATGAACAACCTTGTTGTTCTTTCCCACACACATGCCGGTGAGTAATGCAACAATCACCATGCTTTTCCTTGTCTGTGCCTCTGCAAAATTTTGAGGAACTACAAATGACATGTCTCTCACAGCAATTCTCCCTGATATCAGGCTTGTGGCTGCACGCAACATTCTTGCTTGTATTCTCTTTGAGCAATCCATCTCCATGTTGCACCTTCCCATCAGTTATCAAGATTGAATGTTCCTGAGTTGCATTTGCTTTGTCTGCCACTGACTCATGACAGCAATGAGAAGCGATTGATGATTCAATTTGACTGTCTTGATTCATGCAGTTCTCATGTGTCTTTTCTTTGTCTCCCTTCTCATGCTCATGGCAACTATGCCCATGTTTGCAACTCTGTGATTGTTCATGACTGCCAGGCAATTTGTGTTCATGCCTTGCACAATGTTTCTTGTTCTTGTCTTTTGATTGCAATAGCATCATGCTGTTTAAGATGACTAGAAGGCATGTGCCGACATCAGCTAGGACAGCTGCCCAAAGAAGTGGATGGCCAGCAAAGGCAAATGCAAGGACTACCACTTTGGTTATCACCGAGAAGAAAATATTCTGAATGATGGTAAAATATGTCTTCCTGGCCAGTCTGATAGCTTTTGGGACCTTGGAGATGTCATTTGACATTAAGGTTATATGACTGGTCTCCTTTGCAACTGCTGAACCTGATATGCCCATTGAGATCCCAACATCTGCCATGGCCAGTGAAGGTGCATCATTCATCCCATCTCCAATCATTGCTATAGAACCTTCTCCGGCCTTTAGATCTCCAATAATTCTTACCTTGTCCTCTGGTAGAAGCTCTGCATGAATTATTTCTATGGCATGCCCTAGCTGTAATTAAGTATTAGAAAGAGCAAAATTTGTTCTAAAGTCTTAAGTAGTTGCTTAAAAAAAAAAATCTTGCTTGCTTTTGATTTTTTATTAGTTTACCTGGTTCTGTGCATGGATGGCTGCCTCATTGCTGTCTCCTGTAATCATTGCACATTTAATTCCCAGTGATTTTAGTGCCTTTAGTGCTTGTGCAGCACCAGCCCGGCAGGTATCAGACAGAGTGAAAATTCCAATTGGAATCATGTCCAAGAATATATATCCATAGTTGATTCCTTCCATGCCCTCCACGTTTGGAACTGAAACATCCAAACACAAAAACCTTAGAAATTCTTTGAAGTAATCACTGTATCCTTCTGCTAATCATGAAATAAAGGAGATGGTCTATAGAAAAAGTAAAATAAAAATTTTAGACTGGAAGCTCTGTTGGTTTCTATGTTGATATCTTTTATAAATTGTATCAGTAAGATCTTTGCTAACACAAACATCCGATAAAATCTAAGTCATGCTGCAAAACTTCGGGAGTGATACAATGTGACCTACACAACCCTTAAGGCAAACAATTGATGGGATATATCTTCTTACCTGTCTTGCATGCGGCCCTTGATGCAATTCTCTTATTCCCTATGTATATGTTCTTTCCATCTATTTCTCCATGGATTCCTTCTCCTGGGTAAATATGAAACTCCCTTACATTCTCTGGTTTTGGTTTGATAGAATTTGATTTAGCATAATCTACCAATGCGGATGCCATTGGGTGGCTTGATTTGCTTTCAATGCTTGAAACCCTGTAGAGTTACCACATCATCAGTTCATCTCTTATAACATGCAGAAGCTCGTCTTTAAGGATGAGCCAAATGTTGCAAAAGAGCAAGCTTTATCATCACTTTGTTGCCTTTTATTTGAGAACATCTTTATTTACATTTCAATTCTTGCATGTATGTATCAGTTTTCCTTCTACCGATTTTATGAAGATCTCTGTGTCCATTAACAGATTAATGTATTTGGAAAACAAAACCTTGCTGTAATTGATGTTTTACCAGTAAAGTAGTGTGTGCAGGGAGACGTTGCTGCTAATCGAGCGGAAATCCATGACAGTGAACTCTCCTTTGGTTAGTGTCCCTGTCTTGTCAAACGCCACCACTGTTATGCCAGCCAGGTTTTCAAGAACATCTCCTCCTTTGATAAAGAGTCCTGCCCTGGCTGCTCTCAACAGTGCACAAAATGTTGCAACGGGTGTGGATAGCACCAATGCACAGGGACATGCACTCACAAGCAGGACAAGTGCCAACCTGAACCATCTTTTAGTATCATTAACTCTCATTAGCATTGGAACTACTGCAACCCCTGCTGCTATTGTCACCACAGCTGCATTGGTAGTAGGTAAAGATGAGGCAGAGATCATAAGATGTACAAGTGATTACTTCATATTTCATTGCCTTCCTTTTAGTTGATGAAGTGTTTCCTCATTTATTTTCTAGCAATGGAGAAATCTTGCTGAGAGGATCTTCAACTAATGGCCTACTGACCTGGTGTGTAGTACTTTGCACAGGAGTCTATCAATGTCTGGGTCTTGGATCTGCGGTTTTGAGCTTCTTCGACTAATCTTGCCATTCTAGCAACTGCAGATTGCTCAGCTAAAGCAGTTGTGCGCACACTAATATAACCTGCATTGTCTCTTGCAGGTCATCCGTGATCAAAGAGTTAGTTGAAGAAGCATGACAAAAGTATTGTACCATCTATGTTTAGTGTGCCAGCCCAAACTGGTGACTGCGGCTGCTTGACGACAGGGAAGGACTCTCCTGTGAGGCTACTCTCATCAACTTCACTCTGCCCTTCAACCACAACTCCATCGATTGGGATCACTTCTCCGGCTTTAACTGCCAGAATTGTGTTGATCTTCACATCTTGAGCATCCACTACTTCGCCTGTTTCTGCTAGAATGGCATTTTGTGGTGCCATCCTCATCAGCGTTGACATCCCAACGGTGGCCTGGAGGTTAGAAATTTAGCTGTTTTGTTCTGAAACTTACCATCCCAGAGTACATGTCTAATAATTTTGCCCCATGAACATTGTTGTTTGTCTTACAACCACTGTTCTAGTGTTCCCTAAGATTTCGCTTTTCCTTTCTTTTTGAGGTCTACATCTCCCTTGAGATGATCGACAAAAAATTTATATAAAAGAAAAAATGAAGAAAAAAAAAGTGCATTGATGGGCTATCAAATTGTTCATCGAGATTACATGGACCAAAATAGCTCTTTTTAGTGCTTGAGTTAGCAAAAGTCTATGAAAATACTATTAACATGTTTCACTCTATAATAGCTTCTTTATCTTTTAGTATTCCAAGTCTGTGTCATTGTGCCAGAGGTTTTAGCTGATTCTGACTCTTATTTTTTCCTTTCCAGGTAACTTAGGTTCAAACAAGTTTCATAAGTTCCTTTGGCAGGCTCATATATTGTTCAGTGATGACACAGGAAGCATTTTGTGGTCAGTGTCTCCAAACCTCTCAAGTAGTCCCCAAACTTGCACCATACTTTCACTGCAAATCTATACATTCACTTGATTGCATTGAATGTGTAGAAAAGTATTGGTGTGAATCAGACTCCAGCCAGATGGTTTTGATGAACTGTATCTGACTGGTAGCTTTTCTGTTTGCCCTACCATCTTCTTTTCATCCTGCATCTCATCCATAGGTCTATATTGGTAAATGACCCAATAAATGATGTGGGGTTGGGTTTCCTACTATGTCACTTCTGACCCAGCACCACAAAATCCTCGAATTGTGTGCTCACAGTCATATTAGGATGAAATATATATATATATATATATATATATATATATATATATATATATATATATATATATAT